CCCTCGTGAGACTTCAATACCCTGGCGTGCTTCACGTACCGTTTCACCGAAGTGTCCGTGGCCCGACGGCCGCGGCGCTTGATGGCCTCCAACGATCGAGTCTGTCTGAGAGCATCGTCGCTGGCGCCTATGTGCCTCCTCATGTACGGGTGGAGCTTCGCCTGCCCCAGGTCTGCGACCTCCCTCACTTTCTTGAAAAGGCTGGAGAACTTGCGATAGTCGAAGGACCACCCTTTGTCCAGCGGGTTGCGTTTCTTCCAAGTAGCAAACCGTGGGTATAGGTATGTCAACTCCACGCTGTCCAGCAAGATGCTCTCGTCGAACGCCTTCGTCATGGTGAGCCCTGCCTCCTCCTCTGGTGCAAGTAAGGGTGCCCCGTGAGAAGTCCTTGAACCCGCCAGTGGAGGCACTAGCTGATGTACACGAAGACCCCGACACTTGCTCGGCCGCAAGTAGAGCCGAAAGAGAAAGATGAGGCACGGTGCGGATTCCAGCTCGTTGATGTATAACGCCGCATAGAGCTCCTCCAGATACTCCAGCATGGCCCTGCTGATGTCCGAGCTCGAACTCAACATCACTCCGTTGGTGCTGGCCCAGTCCTTGAACTCCTGGAGGTACCTGTCGTACCTCATCGCCGATAGATGAGTCACCTTGTTGGCCTCCCAAAAATACTGGCCGAACTGCCTCGCATGCACTGCCTCGTCCATGTGCTCGCGCCGTCTGCGCCTTGCCCTCTGAGTGCGAAGCTGCGACGTGCGGTCCTTCCTGGCCTCTGTCACAGGCCTCTTGGCGGGCATGGGCAGTCTCCTGGCTAGCAGCGTCTTCTGGTTCGGAGTCACTTGAGCCGTCCAGTTCGAGGAGGCCGTCATTGAAGTCCTCGAAATCATAGCCTGATGGTCTCAGCGGCTGAGAGCCACCGCCGAGCGTCCAGTGCCCATCGTCGAACTCGTTGATGAGGTGCTGGCTGTCTGTGGACCTGGCGAGCGTCTCGACAGCAGACTGGAGCGCAACACGCGCCTCGGCATCTCGGACGATCCAGGGAGGGCGAGCGTCTCGCGGCCCGCCGCCGCCCCAGACGGGCGGCCCAGTCTTGAGCCTCGATGCGGCGTCGGCAGGGTTGAACTCTGAGGGGACCCACCTTGTGACAAAGTCTGAATCCGAGATCATGGACAAGGCGGCGAGCTGGCGACAATGTCTGTTGATACTGGCATTGCTGGCTCTGCCCTTACCCTGCGCCAAGACAAACCCCAGATTGTCTCCCAGGAAAAGGTGACGATGCGAAAATTGACGGGTAGAGCGGAGACGATTTCTGGCTGCGATGACGGTGGCACGGCCCTCCGAAGAAGTAATGCTCTCTGCGAGCCGCCAGCGCCCCCGCACCTTGAGGCCCCACTCACTGAAGTCGCCAATGTCCCCACGACGAATGTCGAACAACTCAGGTGGAAGCTCATCTGGGGGGCAATCTGAATCTGGCACGGTCTTGACCTGGCCGTCGGGCTCGGCCAAGGCACGCTGTCGAGCCTGAACTGCATCGTCGACTGCGAACCTCCAACGTTCGCTCTGGCGGCCCCAACCTCGGACAGTCTCCAGCGGGAAGCTCCGGTCCACAATGCCGAACCCCCCGTTGTCGGTCGCGTTGGCGCCCTCGGAGTCTGAAGCCGCAACCACTGTAGCCCATGGCCTCTTAGTGTCAGCGTAGGCAAGCGGAAGTAGTACCATCATCCATCGAAGCTCCTTCGATACGGCTGGCCAAAGGCGAATCCGCTTGGGGCCTGCGACGTCGATGAACCTGTAAATGGCGTGCGGGATGCTGAGCAGACACCGACGAAGGATGGCCGACCAAGTGAAGTGGCCCACAATGCGGTGAAGGAGCTCGCCCGAGCAGAAGCCCTCGTCCAGGATGCCCTTGATGGCGAGGCGCACCTTCCAGCACCGGCGATGGCCGACTGAAATGCGCCCACTGGCCCTGTCCAAGGTCATTCCAGTGAACTGAGCCTCGGGAAGACCGTGCTCGAGCTCCTTGCATTGTAAGCCATCAGCTGCTAACTGCGCATATAGCTTTCGGGCCATGCCCCTGACGACGTCGTCATCAGTGCCCACGACCCCAGCATTGTCCACGTAGATGGCCGTGCCGAAGCCGTCGCCAGTGACGTCAGGTGCCTGCTTCTTGTCCAGTAAGAAGGCTGAGGGTGGCACTCCCGCTCGAAGAGCGCTGGCCGTGACCATGGCCTGACAGAAGTAGAGCGCCCAGGACCAGCCCATCGCCATGACCTCCAGGTGCGGTGTGACGTAGCCC